CCTGACTCAGCAAGGCTGCTGGCTCCAAATCCCTTTTCCAACAGAGACTCCATAGCACTGCTCTTACTTCTTAGTAACCTCTGCTGGAGCTGGGGGACCCTGCGGAGCCAGGGCAGTAAGGATCAGAGTTTGGGCGAGTGTTAATCTGGGCAGTTTGGGTTTTTTTTTTTTTTTTTTTTTTTTTTTTGAGACAAGGTTTCTCTGTAACTTTGGGGCCTATCCTGGTATTTGCTCTTTAGACCATGCTGGCCTCAAACTCTGCCTGCCTCTGCCTCCCTCCCCTGGGATTAAAAGGGTGCTATACCACTGCCCAGCTAGCAGTTATCTTCATTTCACTGAAAGAGAGGAGTCTTTCTCCTACACTCACAGCCCAGGCCTGAGCCCAGCATCCTGTCTCTTCAACTCCCCACCCCGCTACAAGGGTGAGGTTCTTTTCCTTGTAAACTGAGATCTATAGACATTGGTGCTCTTGAACTTAGTGGAGAATTTTTTTCTTGAGTTCTGCATTCCATTTTCCTTCAAGATACATTGTAAGACTAAGAGTGTTGCCATAACTCCATGCTTCCAGAGGTAGAAATGCTACACAGGAAGCAGTAAGTACTGTAGTACGTAGTGCAACTAAAAATAAATAAATGGCTTTCCATGCTGATGATACAAGATTTGCTGAGCTAAAGTTTGTTGTACATATAAAGTCCGTATAGCACCTTAAGAAGAAAAGGGAGGGGTTTACTGATGTTTCTGATTTGTTCAGGCCCAACAATACAGCAGAGGTTGACATTAAAAAAAGTTGAGTGGAGCAGAGGTAGACTGATCTCATTGAGTTCAAGGCCAGCCTGGTAACAAATACCAGAATTATCTTCAACAACTCATGTGGAAGCAGCAAAACACTATAAGCAAAGACAGATAGGTGACAGAGGTCACCCCTGTTCTTACACAGTCTTCCCCCCACCCAGTACACATGGGCCCCTAAGAGCTTGTCCCCTTTACCATGCACCAAGACCTCTCTGGCCTCTGCCTGCCCTTCCCTGGGCAGTTCTTTTTCAGCAACCCCCTGAGGATCCTTAACATCCTCTTGCTGCTGGAGGGCGCTGTCATTGTCTACCAGCTGTACTCCTTAATGTCCTCTGAAAAGTGGCACCAGACCATTTCACTGGCCCTCATCCTCTTCAGCAACTACTATGCCTTCTTCAAGCTGCTCCGGGACCGCCTGGTATTGGGCAAAGCCTACTCATACTCAGCCAGTCCCCAGAGAGACCTGGACCACCGGTTCTCCTGAGCTCCAGGGTGATCCTCGAGACAGTATCCAGGCTTCACCCAAGGGCCTCCCGGCCAAGGGCTGTTGGGGTTGTGTTGGTGGGAGGGGCAAAACAAAAAACAAAAAAATCCCAAAAAAATCCACCAGAGCTTTGTATTTTTGTTACGTATGTTTCTTTCTTTGATAATTGATGTGATAAGAAGAAAAAAGTCTTATTTTTATACTCCCAACAAGCCTGTGTCCTGTGGTTCTTTCTCTGTGGAGTCAGAAGTGTGGTTTTCCAAGATGGGAAACTCCTTGTATGGCTGCTCTAGATCCCAGAGATCGTGGTAGCTGTGATTGTTGCTACTAACTGAAGGCCAGCTGTGTACGAATGCTTCTGTGTGTACTACTTCAAGCCTTGTCATCCTCATTTGAGAACCCTAGTGTGCTGGCCACTCCTACAGGTGAACTGAAACTCTGAGCTCTAATGACTTGCCATGGTAACAGGGCTATGGAATGGTTAGCTGGGTATAAAAATCCTCTGAAACGTGGTTACACTGTTATCCTAGTAGAATATATCTTGATTCTCCAGCATGCAGTCACTACAACCCTGTCTTGTGCCAGGTGCTGAGCCAGGACACTGCTTCATGATGGGGTGGAAAGGGGTGGAAATGCTGGTGAGATGGTTCTGAGGGTCAAGGCAGTTTGCACCAACCCTCACAACCAGAGTTGGGCCCAATATGACAGAAGAAGAGAACTGACCCTTATAAATTGTGCTCTAGCCTCTACACACACATCAAATAAATGTAATTTTACTTATTTGTATTTTTTATGTATATGAATGATTTGCCTGTATGTATGTATATGCTCCACATGTGTGCCTAGTGCCCTTGGAGGTTAGACGAGGGCATTGAACACCCTGAGAACAGATGGTTTGGGAGTCACCAAAGGTTTCCTGGTAAGCAAACCCTGGTCCTTGCAAGCAGCAAGTGCTGAGCCAACTCTCCAGCTCAATCAGTGTAATTTCTTTTTCCAAGACAGGGTTTCTCTGTGTACCTTTGGAACCTGTCCTGGAACTCAGAGATACACCAGGCTGGCCTTGAACTCACATAGATCCACCTGCCTCTGCCTCAAGAGTGCTGGGATTAAAGGACTACCCAGCTTCCAATCAATGTTATTTTAAAATTTGTGTTTAAGTCAGGTGTAATGGCATATGCCATTAACCCCAGCACTTGGGAGCCAGAGGCAGGTGAATCTCTTGAGTTTGAGGTCAGCCTGGTCTACAGCGTCAGTTCCAGGACAGTCAAAGCTATGAAGTGAGACTCTGTCTCAAAAAGAAAAAAAAGTATTTCCTGGAAAAAAAAAAAAAAAGAGCAGCACAGCGGGGAGGCTGTGGTGATTACACTGGCCACTAGGTGGGCATGAGGAGGAAAGCATCCCAGTGAAAGCAAAGCGCAGGAGGTTTCAAAGGCTCCGTGTGTTGGGAGAGCGGGAGCAGAATGTGTCCTATCACATGAAAATGAAAAAGTGTAAGGCCTCTGGGAAGGTCAGATGCTGAATAAGGGGGGCGTTATTGTGAACAGGCTGTGTCACAGAATGGAAACAAAGCTATGTGAAGGGTCACCTGGCTCCTCTATATAGTTTAGAGTGCTCCACGGAGAAGGGATGCATTCATCTTAGCCTCTCTGCTTTTGGCCCCAGGATATGCAGATGTGCTGTGGTGGAGGGGACACAGACTTGACAGTTTTGGTGCCTCTGTTTTTCAGAATGAGAAAAATCCTTTCCCTAGATGAAAGGGAGCAGTGAATATACCTTGGGAGCAAATCACTGTGAAATGTTAAAGAAAACAATATAGCTGTAGGAGCAGAGGACCCAGAAGACAGGCTTTTAAGAAGTCATAATGGAATTGGATCTCGAAAGGTTTATCACATGGTCAAACAAGGCAAGGGGTGGTACTGCATTCCAAGCCAAGAGAACTAACTGCATACGCAGACACAGACAGGATAGGAGCCTGCTTGGGGAAAAGGGTTCCTCAACTGGGTTGGAGTCTGAACTTCCTGTTGCTGAGTGACCCAAGAACCAGCCTGTGTGCCAGATTGAGATGTTTGGGCATTCCTGAGATCTGGCAGTGGAAAATAGCTAGGCAAAAGAGTGACACCTTTCTTTTGTTTTCTTGTGTTGGTCTTTTTCATATTTTTTTTTCGTGTGTGTGTGTGTGTGTGTGTGTGTGTGTGTGTGTTTTCCAGGCCTAAACCCAGGGTCTTGTGCTTGCTAGACCAGTACTTTACCACTGAGCTAAATCTCTAACCCAAACACTGTTTTTGTTGGTTTGTTTTTAAGTAGTCGTGTTTGTGCATGTGTGTGTGTATACACACAAGCATGTATTTTTGTGTCGCAGAATATATATAGAGATAGTGTACAAGTTTCAGGGGTTGGAAACCCCTGTGCACCAGAAAGTCCAGGGTCCAGCTCTGGTGGGTCATCAGGCTTGTGCCATAAGTACTTTTACCCTCAGCCATCTCTCTGGTTCTTAATGTCTATGGTTTTAAAGCAGACGGGGGGGGGAGAGGGGGGGCAGTTGGGCCTAGAGATCTGTGAGATAAGGAGCCAAGTTAGATGATACCTTCTATTTGAGGAAGGTAAACAGTATTCCTTTTCCGTGTTGAGTTTTTTTTCCCTTAATTGGCCAGGCATTTGGGTAGACTTGGCAATTTGTGATAGGCCCTGAGGACCAGATACAAGAGTCTTCATTCTCCTTCCAAAAGATGGAGACTAAAGTATGGACATAACCCCAGTTCTGTGTGTTGCACTAGGTATCAACCCAGCATTCCTTTTATTTCCTCATCGCTAAGAAAAGGAAGCTCGCTAACTTGTTAATTTTTTGCTTTTGTTTTATGTTTTTTTTTGATACAGAGTTTCTCTGTATTGCTTTGAAGGTTGTCCTGGAACTCGCTCTGTAGAGCAGGCTGGCCTTGAACTCAGAGGGTCCATGCCTCTGCCTCCCGAGTGCTGGGATTAAAGGTGCATGCACCAACACCTCTGGGCTTTGTTTTTTTTTTTTTTTTTTTTTTTTTCTTCATGTGGAAGGTGGTGACCATGGTGTTAAGCAATACAAAACCCTGTCACACACACACACACACTCTTTTGCTAGAGAATCTTTTAATCTCTTGGTGTGATCTTGCACACCTGTGATCTCGGCACCGGGGAGGTGGGAGCTGGAGATCTGGAGTTCAAAGTCATCTTTATCTACTTACCAGAGGACAGCCTGGGATATGCGAAACCCTGTCTCACACAAACAAACAAAAAAAGGTCTGGAGCCTTTCATCCCAGGGCTTGGGAGGCACAGGTAGATGAATCTCTGTGACTTTAACATCTGCCTGGTCTGTATAGAGTTACAGGCCATCCAGAGGCATACAGTGAGACCCTGTCTTCAAAGAACAAAAGCGAGAAACTCCACTCTAATGTTGACTTATTTTCCTTATCTCAATAGCCTTGAACAAATCACTTCCTTTCTCTAGACTATCTTTTTTCAGTTCTATATGGGCTTAATTATAAAAAGAAGGGCTATCTTTCTGGGAAAGGAAGACACCATAAAGAAGAAATAAAAACAGAAACACCTGAGAGCTTGGCACATTGTTAAACATGTATCCCTTCTAGTCTCTCGTTAGCCTTGTCTATTCCATTCCTAATTGACACCTGTAGTGGTAATCTTCTCCTTTAACCGCTCGGTCATCCTGTCATCTTCAGGAGGGAAGTGGGCGTGAGACTTAAGAACGCGTTTAGTACGGTATAAAATGTTTGTCCCCGTCAGGCCGCCGTCCTGCAGGTCCGCCATATTGTCTGCCGAAGCTGCCGCTGAAGCTACAGCTGCGGCCGCCGCCAAGTCTGAGCGAGCGGAGCCGCGATGGGTGAGTGAGGCAGCTCGCAGATGGCTGCTCGGGCTGAGGTCTTGGGGATCGGGGTCTGGCGAGGGCCCGTCTCTAGTCTGAAGAAGATGTCGGGAGCGCCCAGAGGGCTATGGGAGGAGAAATGAGGTCGGGAGTGCCCCTCAGGCCAGCTTAGGGCCGGCGTAGGGCCGCACGGGGAGCAGCCCCCGGGGCTGGTTTCGGATGCCTAGCGCCCCCGCTGTCCCCACGTGGTGGCCTCGGGCCGGAGCTCGTGCGCCCCCGGGGGAAGGCAGGGCCCTGCCCTCGCCCTGCGCCTGCCGGGGAGCTGGGGAGCGGACTCCGGGCGCCGGGCCTGGACGCCGCCACGGGAAGCCTGTTCCCGCGGGCATTTGGCCGACGCGCTTCGGAGCGAGGTGAAGTCTTACCTGCCCACGTAGAGGGGAGAATCCTCTGGAGAGCAGACGCAGGGCAGGCCAGCTCCCGACCGGTAACCAAGGGCAGGCCGGGTCCAGCACAGCTTGGGCCTTTGAAGGCCAGGAAAATGCCCCAGTCGGCGCAGAAATGGGGACGCCTCAGTGACAGGCTTCTTAGTGTTTAGAAAGCCCAACGCCAAGACTTCTTGGCATAGGCAGGCCAGAGATTTGAGGTTTCTGGTTAGGAGAAGAGAGACCTGTTGATCTTTTTAAAAAGAGGACTCTGGATACGAAGGCCCTTGCCCAAAAGGGGTCGATGGTGAAGTCTGAATTCAGAAGCAAAACCAGCATTGGTAATTTATTGCCATCAGTAAAGTAAGAACTTTGCTAATCTGTCTGTGCAGGCATTGTTATCGATGCTTAATGCGTCTTGTTTAGCCTAATTCCAATCCAGTGGGATAGTTGCTGCTGTTGTGCCTGTTTTACAGATGGGGACACTGAGGCTTAAGGTGGTAAAGTAACTTATCCAAGGTCACACAGTGATTAAAACAGGGTGATTACTCCTGAGCTCTAGGATTTAACTGATTTTTATGGTTTGGCCCCCTAGTGGTGGGCTGAAGGAAGGAAGGGACCGTTTTAACCCAACATTAAAAAGTTGTGAATGTATTTTGTTATGGGTCCAGTTTGAAATCTTTAGTCTGAATGAAACTGAAAAGGTTCAGAGTGAATTGCTGATGCCCACTAGTGTTAAGAGAAGCACCTAAATGCATTTCTGAATTTTTTTGCGATCCCTGATCCTAAGGGAACACAAAGTATTTCCCCTGCCTGTGATTTTCGTATCTGATCGCCCTTACACTTCCCACACCTCATCCGATTACTTAATTTACAAACAAAACTGCATAGAGAATAGAGAAGGTATCTTGCATAGTGTACAACAGACCCAGTATCCCTCCATTTCTGAGCTTTCTCAGCTCTAGAAAGGGAGTGTGTGGAACCTAGCCAGCTCTGTAAATAACATGGCATTCTTCCCCACCTTTGGTAATAGCCGTTCTTTCCCTCCAGAACCCTGTAGAAAGTATGAGAAAGATTTAAGAGCTCAGCTGGAGCCCTGGATGGAAAGAAGTGATCTGTGAGATTCATCTTTACAGATTGAGAAACAATCTCAAAGAAGATAACATAGCTAATAAGCAGCAGCCAGGAGTGAGTCTTCCACATTATACTACACATCAGCCTCTAAGGTTTAAAGTGGAGTTGGTCGTTGGTGGCACACACCTTTAATCCCCTCACTGCTGAGGCAGGAGGATCTCTGAGTTCAAGGCCAGCTTGGGGGGGGGAATTAAGTGAAGTATCTTTTTTTTTTTTTTTTTTTTTTTTTTTTTTTTGTTAGAATGTGAAAGTTCTTCATCACAAGAACAAGACCAGACCAAAGTCCCAGAAAGAATTTTTAGTATGTCGAGTCAGGTGACTTTCTGCTTAACTTCAGTGATCAAACTAAAGTAAGGATAAATTTATTCACAGTGTGTAATCCTAGGTAGTTTGGGTAATCCCCAGTACAACAGTGAATTGGTGCTTTGAGAAGATTAACTAGTTCAAGCCTATTAATGGAGGCCCATCGGGTACTGGCTATCTTATGGCCTGCCTTTACCCAGAGTCTGCTCTATTGCCTTTTTGGGTACACTCTCCCAGGGCCTATATGTTGTACAGTTTTTGCTATGTTAAACTATGTTAAACTTCATCCCTCTTTCAGTCCCCTTTGTAATGGTCCCACTGTCTGTGTTGGTGACGAAACTATAGATGTTGCTTTTGCTCTTGATCATTTCTAGCAAAGACCTCAACCATTTGAATTCTGGTAGATGCCGGCTGTCTAATCACCATTCCCGCTCTTGCTAACAGGGAATTTGGCATTCCCTCCCAAAATGCAGGGGATGGGTCTTGATTAATATAAACTCTAAAATAGGTCTGTGTAGTTGTATTGTTCTAGGCAGTGGTTGATTAGGCCACTTAGATCTGAAGAACCTTTTTCATTTGAAGCAGACTTTCTGGCTTTTTAAAGACTATTTGCCACTGGGAGTTGATGGTGAAAGCCTTTAATCCTAGCACTTGGGAGGCAGAGGCAGGCACATCTCTGAGTTCGAGAACAGTCTGTCTGGTCTACAGAATAAGTTGCCAGGACTGTTTCACAAAGAAACCTTGTCTAAAAAAACAAACAAAAAAATATTTAAAGTTTGTATTCTAACTGGTTTTACCAAAGTGTGAGTTTCAGACAAGACAGAGCAAGGTTATGATAGTAATAGCCAGTACATCTATAGAGCTGCTAAGTGATCAGCACTCTTCTAAGTACTTCTCAGTTTAACTCATTTCCTTCTCAGGTTCTCCTGTTTTAGTTGAAGAAACTGAAGCATAGGAACTCTGCCACTGAGCTCTGTGCCCATGGTTACCAGACCTAGTGTGTATGTCTGTTACCTTTGGTTTTTTTTTGGGGGGGGGTTGGTTTTTTGTTTGTTTGTTTGTTTTTTTTTTTTTTTTTTTGTTCTTGATCTTTGGTAGTCTGGGTATTGAAGCCAAGCAGAGTCATAGAATAGTCATGAATAGCCATGTACCTCATAACAACTTTTCAAGGAAGATCAAGTTGCAATTATGATTAAAATCCGTAAGATTATAATGACGCTAAAAAAAACTCCACTTGTCTAGAGAACATATAACTGGTGAAGATTCTGTCGATAACCTTAATGATTTCTTTAAAAGTTTGAAGTCATTATGTTGGTTTGGTGGCTTGCACCATTGGTCCCAGCTACTCAAAAGGCTGAAGCAGGGATTACTTGAGCCCAAAAATTAATTTAAGGAGCCCGGACAATATAACAAGACCTTGCCTCAAAGAAGTTTGAGCTGGGTGGGTGGGTGAAGTGCCTCAAAAGTCAAAAGACAATTACTGACAAGCCTAATCTCTTGAGTTTAATCCCTGGAACACACAAATTGTCTCTTACCACCACACATGCGCATACTTCCCTCTTCATGAACACAGAATAAATAAATAAGAATTGGATTGGAGATACAGTGTAGTAGTTAAGAATATCAGCTACTCTTTTAAGAGGACAGGAGGGCATTGGAGAGATAGCTCAGCAGTTATGAGCAGTGACTGCTCTTCCAAGGACCTGGGATCAAGTCCCAGAACCCACAGGACAGCTCACAACTGTAACTCCGCTTCTAAGGCATCCTCACACAGACATAGATGCACATAAAATAAAAATAAATAAAAAATTTTTTTTTAAAAGAGGACTCGAGTTTGATTCCCAGCACCCACATGTCAGCTCACAACAGTATAAACCCACATGGCAGGGAATCTGAAGTCCAGACAGAACTCCCACACACATAAAAATAAATGCATAAAAAAATATACAATTAAAGATGTAATAAAGTTTAGGTAGGTATGGCAACACTGGCCTGTGATATCCTAGCATGTGAGAGTGTGTTTGGGACAACCTAAACTATAGCAAGACTTATCTCAAAAACAAGTTTAAAAAACTATGGACATCATATGTGGTTGCCGGGAATGTACTGGACTCAGAGATCTCTCCTGCCTCTGTCTCTGGAGTGATGGGAGTGAAAGTGTGCACCACCAGGCCAGGTTTATTTTCGGTCTGGAGAGATGGCTCTGGTTTAGAGCACTTGTTTCTTCAGAGGACCCAAGTTCGAGCACCCACATGGTAGCTCACAACCATTTGTAACTCCAATTCCAGGGAATTTAACACCCTTTCAATTCTGAGGGCACCAAGCATACATATAGTTTACATACTTACATGCAGTCAACATCCATACACATAAAAATAAATCAATCTTTTTAAAAATTATTTTACTCATGTGCTTAGATGTGTTTGTATGGGAGTATGTTCCTGTGGGTGCACATACCAGAGGGCACCTGAACTGGAACTGGAGCTACAGGCATTTGTGAGCCACCCAGTGTGGATCCAGAGAATGAAACATGGATTTCTGCAAGAGCAGTAAGTGCTCTGAACCACCAAATCATTTCTGCAGCCCCAGAGAGAAAAGTTTTAAATAAGTTTAGGTGCAGTATTTGTTACCAACAGAAGTGAACAGCAGTGTCCCAGGCTTTCACACTTTGATGCACCATTCCCTATTAAGTAACTCTTGCAACTGCAGTCTTCAGCCTTTTGTGTCCTATACAGTATGCCTTCTGTGCTGTGTGCTGCATTATTTTTTGCTGTACTGTTTCTATTTTTAGATGAACATTTTGTTTCTTCAGTATCATAATATGCTTTGTATCCTATGAGCAATGGGCTATACCATATAACCTAGGTATGTAATAAAATACACCATCTTAATAGGATCATTTAAGATAGACTGTGATGTTCACACAGTGTTGAAATCTGTTAAAGATGCATTTCTCAGAACATATATTGCTATAACTCAGAACATAGCTATAACTTTTAATAGACTATTGGTAGACAGTTGTTACCAGAATATGAGCTATCATGGGCAGTGTTCTTTCTCTGGAAAAAGCCTGTTTCTGACTCTGAAATTGCCACTAACAATGCCAAGATTATGAGGCATACTTTGTAAATAATAGGTAGTTTTAAAAGTGGAGAGTAG